CTGAATGATAACCGATCTTCCTTCTATAATTCCATGAACTTTAACTGATTTATTCTTATGTGCATGCTGAAATCGACTATTTAGTCGATCTCCTTCCACATCGGCTCTCAGAGCCACACATTCAGGACTGTCTAGCAATACCGGTATCTTCCGCCTTAAATTACTGATTAGCTTTTTTCCATGACAATTGCAGGGTCAAATTGACTGGCACGTCTCGGGAGGAGTACGCAGGATCGACCATCCCTACGTTGAAGCTAGGCGGATCTATAGCTCTATCGAGCAGACCCTTTCGGCTTACTCGTGTGCTCTCGGCACGGGACGAAAATTCGTGCCGACACACGTTCTGACACGCCTGGTGGAACCCCACAATCGTCATGGCGGTTCACAACAACAACGATATCCTTATGGTACATTACAAAGACCTACTTGATCGAGATAGAGATGTCATCGGTAAAGCTATAGAAAAATTTCAGAACAAGTGTTTGTTGTCCTACACCAAAACACGCGACAATACAATTGTTCAGAAATATCCACTACCAAGAGTTCTATTGCATGGGCAGACAGATGCAGATGAGACTGAAGACAGGCGTTTCTTCACAAAAGCTATAAATAAGTCTGTTCATGGTGCCATATCGAACCATAATGAAATTTTCTTGAATACATTCCACAACACCATGAAGGAAGTGTTTCATGGGTTTCTAGTTGATTAGATTGGTCCGGCTTATTACAACATTCCACATCCGTCGACTCAAGGGACTAATCAAACTAGTACCAGCCGTCAAGAAGCAGCACCAGCTGGTAATAATGATGTCTAGGCAGTTCAGAGTTTATCTGAACAAGCTCAAGGTGTTACTATAAATCAGATACAGTATAATCCTGGATCATCAGTGCAGCATGTGCAATAGCCGGCGGGGCAAAGTCAGAACCAGACGATTAATTTTGGCACATCTGGCCACATACCATCATCGGCTCAAAAAATAGCACCATCAATTCAAAGGAGCGTCACCCACCGTTTTTCTCTTCTTCTGGACTGCTCGTCTATCGCTGCCCTCTTACCCCGGACCTTCTCTGACACCAGGGGAGAACTCTCCGTCCGACCAGCGTCTGTGCCTTCGGACTCTGACGAGGCGCTGGCCGCATCTTCTTTAGTCCGAGCTGGTGACCGGGCGTCTACACCCTTCAGCCAATCACCACTCGGCATGCCTGAGAAGTACACCGCTTTTTCCTGCGAATGAATCTTTGCATAAGTGAATCAGTTCACTGCTCGGCAATGCTACATGATTCAAAGTATCAGGAACAAACAATCAAGATGGATACCTGAGAGGGCGGATTCGTGCAGTTAAAAGGTCTCATCTGCCCTGACACCCGGAAGGAGGCCAATGGAGCGAATAGCTCTACGGCCTGCTCTACAACCTCATCTTTTGACAGCGCCTCCGACCTCTCTCGGGTGCCGTCAGTGTCTCCCTTAAAGTCAAAGCCCACATGGGCCCTCTCCTTGCAGGGTTGGATGCAGCGCATTATGAAACTCATTGCTACTAGTCCACCGTTGGTCTTCACGCCCTTTATTAGGCCAAGGAGCTCCCTCACTTGCTCCATATCAGCACTGTTTGGCCTCTCCGACCAGCTTTTCTGGCTCTCTGGGATGTGGATGGCGTCGCAGCAGATGGCAGGATGACTCTGCTTCATGTAGAACCACCTAGCGTTCCACCCTTTTAGCGACGTGTTTAGCAGCACAGTAAGGTACTCACCCACCATTCCATCATGCAGCTGAAGATATACTCCGCCGACCACCTTGGAACCGCTGTCGCCCTTCTTCTTTAGCCAGAACAGGTGTCTGAAGAGGTTAAAGTGTGGAAGAATCCCCAAATACGCTTCGCAGACGTGAATAAAAATTGAGATGTGCAAGATGGTGTTTGGGTGGAGATTGCACAGACTAAGTGCCCAGGACTCCAACAGATCCCTCGAAAAAGGATGAACAGGAAATCCCAATCCTCGCCAGAAATAATCCTCAAACACCACTATTTCATCAGTGTGAGGCATTGGGAAGGGCTCACCACTGGCTGGCCGCCATCTGGCGGTGACGCGGTCAGGAAGAACGTCCGCCTCCACCGATCTTCGTCACGGCTGGCTTCGGCATTCGCCTTCTTTGGGCTCACTTTCTTTGGGTTCACAGCTCCCCTCTTCGGCTCCATCTCTCAGATTTGGATGGGGATTGGCGGCGGAAGCATGCGTGGTTGTGAATCTAGAATTGCGAGGGTTAAGGAAGTAGATGAAAGTGGCAAAGGTGGGAGCGCGGGGTTCGGCGGCGCAGTTATAAAGCACTCCCCCCACCTTTTCGCATTCGGGGGTTTTTGGGAAACCGTTCCTGCGATCTGTGCTTCTCTGAATTCTCCGCAACTGAAGGTGGCCGTTACCTGGGCCTTCGTGCAACCCCGGCCCGTATCGCTGATTTATCTCCACAATTTGTTACGGCTCGGCAAATATTCGCCGACATCTCCGCCAACCGTTACGGCTCAGTAATTACTACTGTGCAGCCGTTACTCCGGGGTTTTCTCCACGATTCTATTTTCTCCAAGTTGATTGCTGTTTCTGACCCTGGCACCACGTGACCATGTCACCTACTGTTAGGCTCGGAGACTAAGTGGGCACACTTCACCGTGCGGTGAATGTGCTTTTTGAAACTACATAATCTAACATATTCACATTTAGCCCATGCACCAGTGTAGAATTTGATTCTTTGAGATGGATGAAATATGTAAGGCATGCTGGATAATTTTCCTTTTTGTTTTTATAAATTGTCTTTGCTGACGCGTTTAACCAAGACATGTCGCTGATAAGATCCACATCAGTGACGTGTTTTGGCTAGATGCGTTGCTCGCGTCTTGGCGGAACGCGTCGCTGCTGAAAGTCATTAGTGACGCGTCTTGGCGGAACGCGTCGCTGCTGAAAGTCATTAGTGACGCGTTTTTATCGTCACTGATGTGTTCACATCAGAGATGCAATATAAGTGACGTGTTTTTTCCACGTCACTAATAACTGTCTAGACCGTCTCTAATGTGAAAATCTGACATAGTGACAAATTTATACTTGGTTCACGTGCACAGGTGCTCTACGTCCGATGGAGAATAGCTCTTTATCTCGTATGCTTGGTGTTTATAGGGCGCTGATAGCTATGAGTCTAATTGCTAGGGTTGCAATCAGGTATGAGCAGATACCGATCGAGGCCTCCCTACCTCACCTTATATAGTCCGGGAGGTAGGGTTATCGTTCGAGTCCCGATCGGTTTACAGTAAGGTTTCCTTGTCGTTTACAAGGAAATCTATTGTGTAGAATCTATTATCTTAGGCATATCTTGATCTCCAAGCTTCCCTTCGGTTGGTTGTTTGTCCACCAAGGCCGATGATGTGCCCTGTCTCGGTTGGGCCTCGTATTAACGTCCTCAGCCCACCCTGCTTTTAGTGGGCTCATATGTGGGCGGTGAGGTACCCTGGGTCTATATCACTGATATGACTTGTTGAATACGTTAAGTACTACTAATGGTGAAGATGAAGATCAGGTTATTCGAACCCTAACTTGCATGTGGGCTAGGTACCTATGCCGTGCCTTGATGTCATGTTAACGGCCTTTTGTTGCCTCTATGAAACAAGGGTGTATAACACCAGGTAAATTCTCTTTCATATAAATTCCTGTATAACTATGACAAATGGTGTGCACTAGAGCATTCAGTGAAGCTGAGTAACCATGAGTGTGTTTGAATTTCATTTCAACTCAACGGACAGTCTGGTGTTCGATATGAAGCATTCAGTGAGTACAGGTCAACTGAGTTCAAGTCATTCAAACCTCTTTAGACTTTTGCTCTGGTCGAAGCATCCGGTTTTGCACCTGAGCATCTCTTGATCGTTGGCTGCCAACTCAATACCACGGAGGGTTTGCCCGGTGAGGCATCCGGAGAGAACAAGGGAGCATCCGGTAAGCAGAGTTGCTTCTGAGTTTTGTTTTGGGTGATCTGGGAAAAATAAATCTTGTGACATCATCCAGTGGTGCTCCGTAGCATCCGCTATTATTGTTTAGGCTTTGCTCTTGCTGAGTCTCTGCTTTCACCAGAGCTTCCGGTGCTCAGATCAAGCATCCGGCCGGTGGAATGGCGAGCACAGTGTGAGCCCGTTTTCTTTAGGTTATTTGTAGTGTTCGTTCTGCTTTGTTTCCATGCTTTCCTAACATCTTGTTTCTAGGGTCCATAGGTCCTTTGTGACAATGTGACCTTGACGAAAGCTAGAAGAGATACTTGCAAACAATTTCGGGATATAGGCTGCCTTAGGTTGGGTGGTCACCATTCAGTCCGGTCCTTCACGGTGGTTCCTTGATGTTGGGCACTTGTTCTTGCTTCCTTGAGGTCTTGTTTGGATGTCCATGTATTTACCTAAACCCACTTGTGTTGAAGTGGATTTGAGTGAAAATTAAACTAAAATCTATTCCAATCCATTCCAACACAAGAGGATTAAGGTAGATACATGTGCATTCCAATCCACTCCAACACAAGAGGATTGAGGTAGATACATGTGCATCCAAACAAGGCCTGACGTAGAGTGTATGCATTTATAGTCTAAAAACACATCTATACAGTAGAGTTCGTAACACATGGCACCGTACAACAGAGTTGACTGACGCATACATATGGTCTTTTATTAATAAAAAAGAAAATAAAAGATACATTACAGCTTAGTCCGGAACTGATCAGGACTAGTAATTAGAGAATAACAGTAGTGAACATACGGGAGATCAAATGACCAATATAATGGCAATGAGGAGGACAGTACGTAAGCACAAATATTATTCTCAGGATTGGAGGGAGCTAGTCGGAGGCGCTGGTGCCACGGCCTCTCGCTTATTAAATTTATTTATTTAATTATATGGTATGTCTGAGTCTTCATCGACAGACAGAACGCCACTCACGCTGGGTTCCGGGGCTTCTGGTGGCTGCCAGTTGCCTCATCATGCGCCTACTTGTCCGGCCCATGGCCATGCGTCTTCTCCACGGATGCGAGGAAGCTGCGCCATTGCTTGATCGCGTGATCGGCAGCCTGCATCCAAGACAAACCCAGAATAATGGGACCTTAATGAAATCAGATCCATAGATGTTGGTGCGTATAGCCATACTACAGCAACCATGTACATACGTACCAGGTATATGTCATGCTGCCTCGCTCGGTTGATGTCCCCACGTAGGACGGCGGTGATGTCGCGGGACTCATGGCCTTCTTCCTGGTGCGATGGCGGTTGGTTAGTGCGCGGCAAGTCATGGTCCAGCTTGCACCAGAGGTCGAATCGTTTGTTGACCCCGTCCAGAAGCTCGGCGGCGCGCTTGCAGACAATTGACGTCCCCGCATCTTGGGCGGATGCTTCCTTGGCCAGCTGCCTATGGGCCTCCTGCACCATTGCGTCCATCGCTGGCGTGCGGAATTGGCCGGTTGCAACCATGTGAGCTCCTGGCAAGCCTGTAGTTGTCGCGCGCTGCATCTGATAGCTCGATAGCCATGAGTAGATGCATCCAACACCCAAGCCCTGCTTCAGGATACCCACCATGGCGTTGATGTCCTTGTCGATGCCTCCCAGGTCAAGGAAGTTCCTCGGGGCTTCTTTCCAGGATTCATCGGACTGCTTGAACTCCTTCCACTTCCTCTCCAGCAAGCTCGCTGCGATGGCCTGCAAGACCGGGTCATCTCCTTCCTTCCCATGGACAGCACCTGCAGCCTCCTCCTTCAAGACCTGGAATTCCTTCAGAACGCTTATAAGAAAGTCTAGCACCTTGAACCGGACCATCTGCTGCAGGACCAAGGGGTAGGGTGGGCAGGGATTTGCAGGAGCAGTTGCAGTATCGGTCACGTGAACTGGGAGTGACACTGAGCAAGAGTCAGTGGCGGTCGACTGCCTGCCCGGCGCTTCCTTGTACGTGACACTAGCAGCAATCCCATTCAAAGTTGTATTGTAACCCTGCGACCAAATCCCGGTACGATAAGAAAAGTAGACAATGAAGTCCTTCACCTCCCTAGCATAGAGCGTGCCAACCAAGATGCCTCCGGAACTCCCCGGAGTATGTAACCCCCAGAGTCGATCCTTGTTATCAGCAAACCGCCTGGCCGGATGTCAACGCAGGCGTCGACAGCTACTACGGTCTTGAACCCAGCTAAGCAGATGGCGAGTGCCTCTATGATCTTGCTGTTGAGGTTGTCGGTGATGGAGGAATAGATTCCGTAGGATATGTTAGAAATGTAGTGCAGTGCCTTTGGGTCGTGAGCCTTGCCCAAACCGAAGGTGTGGACTGGGTACTTTCGGAGGAGGCCTCGGATGGGATCCGTGGGGGCGATACTATCATCGCCCCATTTGAACTGGCTGTCTAGACCATCCGAAATTAGAACGATGAAGCCTGCACGCTTCTTATCCGCTCGGTCGTCCAGGAGCTGTAATATTTGGTACATATAAATTAAAACAATAAAAAGGTGAAATCCAAATTTAATCAAAGTTTTTACGAAGAAAAGGAGACCAACTCAGCCACAGTTGAAATTATACGTGAAATTTGACATAAAGATTGAATACAATACTTCATCCGATGACAGATGTAGGTCCATCTAGGTTTGTACCAACTCAAACTACTCTAGCTAATTTTGTCTTGCAGCATCCATAAAAATATTTTATATTCAGTGAAAGGAGTTATATATTATAAAAGTTGTTTTCACAATGAATTTAGTAATGTCAACCCTGTATTGACAATCTAGGTAAAATTTTAGATGTGGATGGTAAAAGCTAAAAAGGTTTGGCTGAGGACAAACCTAGAAGAAACTAATCTAGGTATAACTATTTTATAAGTAGCTTCTTCATGGACTAAGTATAAATATTTTAAGAATTTTTAATACCTCACTACAAATTCATGGAATAAACACTCGTTTTTGCTGCTTCATGGCAGACTAAATTAATCTTTGCTTATATGATCATTGCATCATGTAATTACTGCCTTTAGAGTTTGATCTTTTGTCTGACCTCTATGGCTCTATACCATCATCTGATTGTGTTATTATTACCATTAGAGTTGGCACCAGTTAACCACTTCATATACCATCATCTGATTGTGTTATTGTTGGGATGAAGCAAACAATCAGAGGTTGTTGCTTCCTGCGCTTCTCTATCTCGCACCCTCACTCTCGGCTCGTGACCACGGCGCTGCCCAAGTGCCGAGGCTTCCAGCCCCGACCAGCCATCATCCACTACTACACGCTAAGATCCACCGGACCTATCAACCTTATATCAGAGATTCTAGGATCTAATGATGTTGATGTGCAAATGTCCCTATCTGGCCATCTAACAAAGGTGGAGAAGCGGCCTGCCGAAGTGCCGCGATTTCCCTACAGCAAGCCATGGTACAGCGTCGCCGGCACGTCCACTCTTCTGCCGCCCACCGCCAGCATTCCTCCACTCATCATTGCACCATCTCCGGCACCCACCACCACGACCTCTGCTCCCCTGCCTACAACCTCCTCCATCCCCATCCACCACGTCTAGTTTCCTCACTCGCCTTCTACTGGTCGGAAATGCGTTTCGACAAGGCTTCTACTGGACGACCGTAGTAGCCGACGCTGAACATGTTGTGTGCACCTATGAAGGGTGTCAATACTATGCTCCGTAGACCCACTTGCCGGCCCAAGCGCTCCAAATGATCCCCACCATGTGTCCATTCGTGGTCTGGGGGCTCGATATGGTCGGGCCTCTCAAAAGAGCGCCCGGGGGCTATATGCACTTGCTTGTCGCCGTAGATAAGTTTACAAAGTGGATATAGGCTCGCCCGATCTCCATGATAAGGTCCGAGCAAGCCATGCTATTTTTCCTTGACATCGTGCACCGCTTTGGAGTCCCAAACTCCATCATCACGGACAACGGCACGCAGTTCACCAGGAAAAAGTTCCACCAATTCTACGACGAATTCCACATCCGCGTCGATTGGGCCACCGTGGTGCACGCCCGCACGAACGGGCAGGTCGAGCGCGCAAATGGCAAGGTCCTACAAGGCCTCAAGCCAAGGATCTTCAACCGGTTGAACAAGTTTGGTGGACGATGGGTTGCGGAGCTCCCCGCGGTGCTCTAGAGCCTAAGAACGACCCCTAGCCGGGCCACCGGCTACACACCCTTCTTCATGGTCTATGGTTCTGAGGCCATCCTCCGGATCGACCTCGACTACGAGCACCGAGGGTCAAAGCGTCTCGCGAAGCAGCGGAGCCGGCGTCCCTTGAGGACGCAATGGATTAGCTCGACAAGGCACGCGTGACGGTGCCTCTCTCTCGCTTTCGGCTAAGTACCAGCAGTCATTGCACCGGTACCACAGTACGCCGAGGTGCGGGTCGGGTCTTCAACGTCAAGGACCTAGTGCCCCGCCTTGTCCAGAGCAACAAGAACCGCCATAAGCTCTCTCCACCATGGGAGGGACCGTACGTCATCATGGAGGTGCTCCGACCAGGCACCTATAAGCTCAAGACCATCGACAGCGAAGTCTTCGTCAATGCATGGATAATCGAACAACTCTATTGCTTTTACCCCTAATCCATGCTCAGCCTTACAAAAAAGTAAGAATGTTGTTTCGCAATGAAAAACGATTTCTCTTATTGATTTCGCTACCACCTCGTCGACTTTTTAGTGACACCCGACCCCGGCTACGTCAGGGGGTCGGGCCTCACTCAGGGGCTGATAAGAGTATATATATACCTATTCAGAAATAACCACTTTGTCTGACCCTTTCTCACGTTAAGAATCTAGAGCAAGGTTTGCAGAAACAAACGATGAGTAAACCGGTCGATCAAGAAGAAACCTACGCCCAACAAGCTCGGGCACTCTTGCTCACTAGCGTGATCGAGTTTTTCGCTTTGCTCCTCGAGCTCTACAGGTCTTAACAATAGAAAGGGTTGGAATGCATTAACCTTTTTTACACATAAAAAAGGGAGAAAGAATAAGTTTGTTTTAACGAAACGAAAGGACTAAGAACTTGTCTGCTTATTACAAATGTGCCGCCTGACTTATCTAACTAACTAACCCCTCAATGGGATGATTTCATCTTCTATCTTGGCGAGAAAGGTCATGCGCTAGGGAGCCACAACCACCTCGATGTCGTCCAGCTCGGCGTCGGTGTAGATGGGCGCCGAAGCCTTGGCTCATCGTCGCCAGATTGATGTTCTCGTAATGAGAATGGGCGATCGCGAACGATCGGTGGCGCCAGCCAGCAAGTGCGTCCTTGCCATATCACACGCTTGATCCAAGATCCATGTGGCACGAACCATGATTGAGCTTGTCTCCTACTCTAGGGCCAGCTCGAGCTCATCGCAGACCAGGCTAGACGGTGGCCGCGCGAAGTTGTCGTGTTCATCGCTCTCCTTCTAGAGGATGTCCTTCACCTCACTGAGCTCCTTCTCTAGGCCACATCACGTCACCTCCCTCCGAAGATCATGCGCACGCTATCTCTGGCCGCACCCTCGAAGGACAAGTCGAATGACGGTTCGCCCGGTCGATGGCCCAAGAACCATCATAGGTAAGTAGGGATACGGAGCTGAAAACACTCCCACGGCCCATTCAGGCCCAGAAGTTCAAAGGTTGGCCTACTTGAAAGCTCTAGTTTGGTTTTGGTAAATTGATGAAACCCTAAGTGCCAACCTAGTTTATCAAAGTGATTATGAGATAGGTAGCAGTACTCCAAGTGGTGAAGCAAATGAAGATCATGACATGATGATGGCAATTCCATGATGATGATCAAGTGCTTGGACTTGGAAACGAAGAAAGAAAAACAAAAGGCTCAAGGCAAAGGTATAAGTGGTAGGAGCCATTTTATTTCGGTGATCAAGACACTTAGTGAGTGTGATCATATTTAGGTTCGATAGCCGTACTATTAAGAGGGGTGAAACTCGTATCGAAATGCGGTTATCAAAGTGCCACTAGATGCTCTAACTCATTGCATATGCATTTAGGATCTAGTGGAGTGCTAACACCCTTGAAAATATTTGTGAAAATATGCTAACACACATGCCCAAAGGTGATACACATTGTGTTTAGCACTTGGGAGCAAGGGTAAGAAACTTCACCGGCGGAGTGTCCACCCATAGAGTTGTGCCCAGTGAAGGGGTACAATAACTCTATTTCGTGGGGGCTTCTATTTAAGCCCCATGACCAGCTCTAGCTCACTCTCTTGGCCATTTGCATTGACAAAGCAACCTTGTGAGCTTAGCCAAAGCCCTCCCACTCATCTCCATCATTGATTCATCATCTTTATGAGATTGGGAGAGAATCCAAATACATTGCTTAAGTGTTTGCATCTAGAGGCACTTGGTGTTCGTGTTTCGCTGCAGGATTCGCTTGTTACTCTTGGTGGTTGCTGCCACCTAGATGGCTTGGAGCAGCGAGGATCATCGAGCAGGGGTTGGTGATTGTCTCCGGCTCCGATCGTTGTGATTGTGAGGGGTTCTTGACCTTTCCTCGGTGGAGAGCCAAAAGGTACTCTTGTGAATTGCTCGTGGATTGTGTGATCCTCATGTTGTGTTGGTTGTGCGGCACCCTATTGAGGGTTTGGCTTGTGATGCCAATTAGCGCGTGAACCTCCAAGTTTGTGAATTGCCACAACGAGGAGTACCTTGCCGGCAAGCAAGTGAAACTCGGTAAAAAATCATTGTGTTCATCATTTGATTACGAGGTGATTGATATTCATTGGTATTCATTATTGTGATTGATTGGTTCATTCCTTGACTCAACGGTATAACCATCTTGCTCTCTCTTTACATTACCGCAAACTAGTTGTCAAGCTCTTTAGTGTAGCTAGTCGTGAGAGCTTGTAAGTTTGGTTAGTGTGGCTCTTTAGTTAGCTTTTGAGAGCACACTAACTTAGTGTAGTGACATAGTCATTGTGTGGATAGAGACTATAGAAACTAGAATTGTAGTAGGTGTCTTGCATTTTTAGTAGGCTAGCGCAACACTCGCTTCGCCTCATATTTGTCTAACCGGTTTGTTAAGTGTTGTTGTAGAAATTTTTAATAGGCTATTCACCCCGCTCTAACCATTAGGACCTTTCACCACTGACGGGTTCATAACCGCTCTAGGGCACCATTGGAGTGAGGGGTGGAAAGGGATGGGCCCGCTAGCGGCTAGTACCCGGGCGCACGAGCGCCACAGGCATCCCGACCTACATTCTAGTCTAGGTTGGTTTACAATCCATGTTTTTTCCTTGAAGAAAGGCAGAGAGCCCTTAGGACTGGTCGAATGGACACGAGAACTATATGGATTGGCTGCTGAGAATATGGAGTCGGTCACCAGCTGACCCCAACCGGACCCCCATGAATAGGAAGCTAGGGCCCCACTCAGACTAGCCCATTAACAGCTCACGAGCACCATGTTTCGTCCATCGAGGAAAAACATGGCATGGCTCAGCCCCTCTGTTTTATCAAAAAAATGTTTGAGCAATGACAATCACAAAGACAAGCTGACCCCTCCATCGGACCCCTGCATCGCGTGGGGGCTCGAGGGAAGTTGGACTCACAAGGAGACCGAATACGTGATTGCAGGACGATGGCTCGGATCCTAGGGAGGTGTCGAAATCAAGAGAAATATTTTCCGACCCCCCGAATCCTACGGTAACATGCCCCCAAGAAATCTGATCACGACAAAAGGGAATCGCCGTTCTACCAGGACATGCCGCGGGCTACAAAAGAAGGCCAAGGACCTTAGAGTCCTCGCATCTGGAAAAGCCTTCAAAGGAGTATTCTACTCCGTAGGCTCGGGGGCTACTGTCGGGCATCAATATTAGGGATACCCAAAGGAAGGAAGTTAGCGCCCACGTTACCTTCCCCGGATGGCTCGAGACGTATCAAAAGACCACGGGCTCCGTTTTGCCCGACCCCTTGGGTGCGGGCTCCGTCTCACCCGACCTCGAGGCCGCAAGCTCCGTCTCGCCCGACCATGAGGCCGCGGGCTCCGCCTCGCCCGACCCCCAGGCTATAAGCTACGTCTCGCTCGACCCCTTGGGTGCGGGCTACGTCTCGCCTGACATCGAGGCCCGCGGGCTCTGTCTCATCCGACCTCGAGGGCGCGGGCTCTATCTCACCTGACCCCTTAGGCAAAGGGCCCTTGGCGCCCGACCCCGTGGACGCTATTTTCGCCTCGCCCGATGGGGACCCATACTGCCACCAACCACTCTAGGTCCAAGCGTATGTGCCTAGGTCAAAACTCTGACATCAGGGAAGAAGCGGGCACGCCTCGATGTAACCCATAGCCATGATGGGCCATACCTAGGGTTCACGTCAAGAACAGTGCCGGGCATGCTGGTGCTGTTCTGCCTAATCCTCATATGGATGTTGACAGGCGCGTCAATTCACCGGGCCATCCGCCGGGATGGAGTGGAATGCCATGACCAGCAGATGACGTCTATGCATGGCTCCAGTGATGAATAGGGCTAGGACGTGGAGCTGTCCCTATTGACATCTACAGGATCGACGGGACCCGCATGAAGGAGAAGAAGGATCCAGCGACCCTAGAAGCCTTCTTCTCCCTCTTGTTTTCTCCTTTTCCTCCTCTATAACCTATGCTTTCCCTTGGCCTATAAAAGGGGAAGCGGTGCACCCCGTGAAAAGGGAGACCGAGGCACGTCTTTAAACAACAGCACAACACGAACATACGAGCACATGGCTGAGCGGCAAGCGAGCTCTAGCTCCCAATTCACTCCTTCCACCAGAGAGTTCAGACCCTCTCCCTCTCTCGCCTGTTTGTAACCCCTAATGCAAACCTAGTGCCAGTAACACGAGCAGTAGCAAACTGGACGTAGGGACGTTCCGCCCGAACCAGTATAAACCCTTGTGTACTCCGAGCAAACCATCAGAGCTAGATGCGCAAATACAAATTTACTCGTCGGTGGTCCAAAACACCGACACCTCTCTACCGCACCGATGCTACAGCTGCCCGCGTTTGACCATGCCTTCATCGTCGACTACAATGTGTCAAGCACTGCCTTTGATGCGGTCCTTCATCAAGATACGAGACACCTAGTGTTCTTCAGCTAGCCATTTGCGGTGCGCCTTCACAAACTCATTGTAGATGAGCATGAGCTAATCAACCATGTCCAGGCAGGTAGGCACTGGCATCTGTACTTATGGGGATGCCGCTTCGTCATGAGCATCGACCACTTCAGCTTGAAGTTCCTGGTGGATCAGTGGCTGTCCACCATCCCGCAGAACCAGTGGATCAGCAAGATATTTAGCTTTGATTTCGCAGAGGAATACCGCTGGGGCTATCTCAACACAGTGGCTAACGCACTCGCGCGACGGGACATGAAGGAGATTGCCATCCATGCTCCCTGCACACCGACATGTACACTCTCTGACGACATTAAGAAGGAGCTCAACTCGCTACCAAAGGCGACCCACATCCATGACCAGCTTCTGCATGGCGATCAGGCCTTCCCCTGGTGCCTGCACAATGGCCTCATCCTCTTCGGCAAATTGTCTACATGGCACCATCGTCCGCTGCCCTACCTCAAATTCTCTAGCTCGCCCATGCTTATTTGGGCCACACGAAGGCATTCAGAAGATGCTACAGAGACTCTAACTAGACATCATCCCTACACTAGCACCTCTATGTCTAGCTTATGTGCCCTACTTCTAATAATTTCACTAGTACGCAATGATGTTTAATCATGTTTAACCATAACATTTAGAGCATCGCTCTCATCCATTCATGGCATGTTCAATTAACCATGCATCATTCGCAAATGAGAAGCCAGATAAAGTGAAAGTTTCGACCCAAATATATGGTCTAAGCATGGTGGACTACATCGCCATGATATTCGTCCCAATGTGGCTTGTTGAAGCAGTGACCGAGCCACACTACCTCTTTGCAAGGGGCACTTCAACGGATATGGCTATCCAAGTGGTGGCTTACATGGCCATGGCACTTCTCCAAGCCAGGTGGGGGTGTTGGAGATGTGGCCTTTCCACCACTTTCCTAAGCAAAGTGTGCAACAACATGTGATTGAGTTTGAGATTGTTCTGACAGACCTCAACTCGTATGAAAGGTTCATGGTGGAGTTGGTTGTGGCTCTAGATCGAATGATCCATTACCTCACCCACTTGCTCGAAGATACTCAACATCGCTTCAACAATCTGCAGCACTCGCTTGAGCCATACCTATGGATGGACCAGGTGGCCTTGGCCAAGCTATCAAGAGAAGTAGTAGGAGCAGATGTGACCACACATGACCTGACACGGAGAAACAGACGATTGCAGTCACATGCAGTCCCTAATGCAGTGACTATAATAGATCCACTTCTAGGACTGTGTAAGGTAATGACGCTGCTAATGAACTCCTGACGCCCAGAGCTTTGATAACAGTGCATACAATGAGATTGAAAAGCAAATATGACATCGTATAAGGGTGCAGGAGGCAGGTGCCCACCGAGCACCAACCAAAGAACACCAAAATTAAAATAGCCATTGAGAAGAGTATGAAGCAATGCACCACCTTGCCAATGATCTCATTGACCTGTTGTGGACTACCAAACGAACCTTCTGGCACTTTGTGTGCTTAAGTGCTCAAGTGCTCGAGTAGTATGGGTGCAATCAGGTAAGAAAACTTCTTATTGCTATATGGTTTGCTGCAACCAGGATTAATTTCATGTATGCAACAAATGACTTATTTATTGCGGTTTTGTTCAAAACTTATCTACAATCACCAGATGCGTGGATGTTGAATTGAGCAGTTGAGGGCCTATGCAACGTTGGTGTCTAGAGAAGAATTTATACTTTGCACCTCTCACCGTTAACACTTAACTTCAATAATCTTTTAAAATGCATTAATTATTTAGAATTAAAGGAGATCAAATAGAAAACATGGATATGGATTTAACTAAATAGGATGATATTTGAGAAACAGAAAGCAAGTTAAATGAAAAAGAGATAGCTAGCCCAGCAGTTTGCAAGGGCGACTTGCTAGTTAACACTTCCACGTTAAAGTACAGCCAGGGTGCTATGTGTCGCCATGCGTATGTGGACCGTCTTGGTGGGTTGGGCCTTAAATGATTTTGGAATGCAGGATGTTGCAATTGTATTACATCAATTATTGTATTGTCTTTTTTTTATTTACCGTAAGCTCCACAAGTGTTTGAGAAGTGGTAGTTTATGAACTAGTATTTAATTCTTATGCGCAAACCTAAATAAATTCATATTGAGAATCGAATAGAGTAGCTAAGTTCAGCACATACCTTCACAGCATGCTCCAAGCTTGGTTTAAAAGCAGTGTCACCCTTAGCCACAAGCCCATCCACCTTTTTCTCGATAGCCATCCGACCAATGTCGGATATTTCTAAAATGCCAGTGGTATACTCTTTGATGACCTGATCGTTGAATGCTACAATGGCTAGGCGGTCGTCATCACCAAGCTGCCTTATTATGAACTTCATGGCATTTTTCAGCAGATCCAACCTAGATGACATCTCTGTTTGCGATGCTGCTGGCCAGCTCATGCTTTGGTTAATATTGATAAGTGTGACTAGGTCAATGGGGTCATGGTTCTTCATAGATGAGGGTGCTTCAACGCGCACCACTGCTGCCCCATTTAATGTTAATGCGCGTGAGTAGTCTATCAGAAGTATAGGGGGGCTCATGGAAATGCTTACTCTGACTTTCTCCGGGGTCATCTTGACCTGCATTCACAATTTAGAATTAGAGAAGCATCTGAATTTCACTACCACTACCTTCTGTAAAGTAAACAAGTGATGTGTGCAACCACATATTTTAAACATAGCATACATATATATTTTTTGAGCGATAACCATATATAAGGGAGGATCTGAGGACAACATATTAAATAAATAAATACATAAAGAACAAGGCAGTTTATATTCTAGCATTAAAGAAAGAATGAGAGAAATTTACTAACAGAGTCCAGCCACGTGGAAAAATGCTGCTTCAACTCTCCCGTCACCATTTATATTGGATGGACAAAAAATGCTGATTCAACTCTCCGTCACCATTTATATTGGATGGACAAAGGTGATGTGTGTAGACTTAAATTGAAAATACTTTCATAATGTTAAAATTTCAATCCATTAGAAAATGTAGCTCAACAGAATTTTGTGGCCAAATTGGTGTCTCGGAGATTGTAGCAAGAACCAAATATCTCACACTGTTGTCCACTAGTTCACCGACCCATGCTGTTGCATGGGCACTTAGAGAGAGATGTGTGTTAAAAATTTGTGGATAAGTTTTAGGCTCATAACTACCCAAAATTGCTTATCTTTGGTCTCTCTTATTTGCTCATATTCTAAAACAATACTTATGCAAATACTTTCTTATTTTTATATGGATGTGATGGAGTTTAGTTTACCAGTTGCTATATACACTTTTTCAATTCAAATTCATAGTTGTTCCCTTAGCATTGCATATCCATGCGTGTTTGACATGTATTTAGTTAAATTCCCACTCAAGTGTTCATATTCTAACACAACAATCATATAGGAACTTTCTTATTTTTATCCAGATGAGATAAACTTTAGCTACCAATTAATTTATATACCTTTTCATCCTTGTTCATATTTTATGCCTTTTCACCATGCCTCTATGTGTGTTTGACATGTATTTAGTTAAATTATTAGATTCAGCTATGTACTTGGCATGGAAATCTCTATGCTTATCGCTTCTTGCATATATGTATACATGGTCTGTATGGTAATGCACATATACTAACAGTGGAAGAAGTGAGTAATTCAGAAGCATATACAAAGTACTTTGTGATATTTTTTGCCTTGTTAGACATAGGTCATTTAGATCAGATTTTTTAGGTTAGTTTATTTGCATTATTTTGAAAAACCTGCGAAGGTGGATAATTTAGATGCAAATTTAGGGGGTAATAAGTGAAGATTAGGGGATTACTTTAGGTTGTTTCTAATAATGGCAGTAGTGAGTAATTTAGAACAAACTTTAGGAGGTTAATTTAGACTATGTTCGTAATGACAGCAGTAGATAATTTTTTAAAAAAAAAATAGAATAGATCCAATGGCTTGTATTATCAATAATGACTACAGTCTATGAACTGAAGGCTGGGTGTGTTTTTTTATTTTTTGAGAACTTCTTAGCTTATCTCATGAGGATTAATGTGGAGTTTCACAGGAAGTCTCCAATTAATAATAGTAAGGAAAGTAACTAATTGATTACATACTATAAACAACGAGTAGTGCTAGCTGTATTGGCTGACAGTTTCAACATACAAATGAATAAGGTACATTTTACAAAAAAATTAATCAAGTAAATAATTTTTTGGTTTCAGAAAGTCTGAATTGTTTGTTAGGTCTGAATAGCTAGAAAACCACAGCGATTTCTTCATTAAATTAAAGATGAGGGAAGAGGGAAGAACAGGATTCTAACGGTTCTACAAAATGGACCGGTTATAGAGACAAAGTAGTACTATCTTTAGTCCAAAATAGATTTTGTCGTAGTAGAATGTCTGCAATCAAAATTTTAAAAACTTAGTCATTATTAAACATTTAACCACTATTGTCCATCAAAAAGTACTTTTGTTGTATGAGATGGGCTGGAAGTTTCAACATTAAAGGTATTGTATAATAATAATTTTATTGTTTTTAATACATTTAAAAAATTGTAATTCAACCAGCGGATATAATAACAATACTTTCATTGTGGAAGAAATGGGAGACCTCTTGAATAATGGTGGAAAATGGGTAACAGTAATCCAAACTATCAGGTACCTGTATCCGCATTACTTTCTAAAATATATACTAAAATGGACGTATCTCAATTAATTTTAATTGTTTTTAGTATCTAATTCGGATCTATATCTGTTATAAATGTGGATATGGATATATATAAAACAGTCTGTATTGTGAAGAATAAATTACTTGTTGAGACTATGCTCTGGTCTCTAGACTTGACTTTAATCTCTTGAATGTGGATCCAGGTGGCAGGACCACTATTTTTTTGAAACTATCTAAAAATAACCCGCATTCAACTTAAAAGTTTAAACTTTTTGATGACCAATGATATTGATTTTAATATGACCAATAATATATAAATATTAATTTATTATGACTAATTATATTAATTTTAGTGTTACTAATGATATTAATTTTAATTAATATGTCTAATGATATATAATTTAACTATACAATGGCCCATATTCAAGTTGTAAAAGTTGAAAAACATTTAAAAGTTGTATATATATGACTAATGACAACAATTTATGCGGGCCTGTTCTACATGCTCCATGTGAGTAGGTGAGCCGTAAGCAGATTTTGGACATAGCAAGGGATTACAGATGGTATTCAGAGTATCGACCCTCACTGCATGTGCATGTGTTGTAATCTACATTGCCTGAGGAGGGTTACAATGCACACACTCTTACATTGCCCGTGCAGGGTAAGAGTAGCACAACCATGTACCGAGGGGTGATTTTGTTATTGTAGTTGGTGAGTTTAGTACCACCTTAGATGTTTAGGAGTGTGAGAGCCAGCTTATAACTCTTGTTGTTCCAAACCTAGCACCTCTAGGTTAACTCTTTTACACGAAGCGAGAATGAAAGTGTAAGAGAGGTACTATGCATTTGCAGGCTCATTTCACATGAGGAGATAAGCAGATTTTTAACGCAGGGTGTTACGTTAGATCAATTATTCAAATTGTATATACAGAATAGGATTGTAGGTTTTATTGCTTTGGTTATGGAATTCATTATCTGCAACATTACTTTAGATATATATTTTTCACTCACTGTACCATTTGCTTTGTCAGCCTTTATCATGATGTCCCATATTATCTATTTACCAAATTAATATTCTCTCACGTCTTTTTTGTAAGGCAATATCCCTCCGCTTAGTTTCTGAGAGCATATATATATACCGCTTAGTTTCTGAGAGCATATATATATATATATTTGGCTGGCCGGTTTGGTTTATTACGTCAACTAGCCTAGCTGCATGTCTTGCGAATGAATGTTCGCCGCACTTTAGAAGGTGCACACAGTTATATCAACGCCACTAATGTAACACTATAACCCTCATAAATCTCGACATGCGCATGCCCTTTAATCCCTCTCCTAGCTTTCCAAGCGTTTTTTACTTGGCGATATTCATGCGCACAGGGGATATGCATATAGAGCCTGACTACTAACAGAGCCAACTACTAGCTCCATCTTATTGTCATATGGTCTCCAGCCAATTTAATAGCTCACCCGTATAACAGTTAGCTATAGATACATATTACACCACTAAAACCTATCACACCTCTGTCCTCTCATTCTCGCACCATGGTTGTTGAAGCCCGTGCTGCAGCTAGCTATAGATCTGCAACCCGCTTCCTCTTCTTTTTCCTCTAACACAGCACAAATCTGATGTGCTAATTTCTATAGCTCGCTTACACTACCTTACTATACTTGCTCATTCGCATACAGCAGCAAGTAACTGCCTACGTTACTCCATGCAAGGAAGCCAAGCGCTGAAGTAAAAGCGTTACTGCACGCAAGGAATCAAGCGCTGAAGTAAAATCAACAAAAAGGGAAATGTTAACGTCCACTGACAGGACGTTGTTGTGCCCAATTGTGTGCACCCCAGCACTCTAAGATATACGGTATTTTTTTTCCTTTCAAGGAAAATAGAACAAATCACAGGAAAATAAAACAACAATCAAATCCTGATGCCATCTTTGTGCATCTCTATCCACAACCACGTCTCCGGTCAGCTATCACAGATCACAAATGAAGAGGGGTTAGTCAAAGAACTTAGGTTATGCTTTACTTCGACAAAGAATAGAAGGCGAGTACCCTATTTTTTCTGCTCATCAAACTTATTGAATAGAATCAAATAGAAAGACCATCAAAGCTTCTGAATTTTAGAATGAATCTAAGGTATTCGATTTTATTAGGTTTTATTTACTGCCAAGAAGACTGAAAAGAGGTATGATTATTTATTGCATAAGCAAATAAAATTTTCTTTGTATGATAATCTTTTATAATACATGTTTTATATTATAGAACTAAAACATACGAATTGTCAACATCTACCCGATAGGACCAAAACACTTATGCGATCCATGACTATCTCTACAACTAAAACATACGGCTTGTCAACATCTACCTGGCAGGACCAAAATATTCATGCGATCCATTGACTATCCGGCATAAAAAACATCTCAATCAATTTATGTTGCACCCGTTGCAAAGCACGGGCACTCATCTAGTTTTTAGAAAAAGATGGCTATTGTGAATGGATTTATTAATATTTATTTCTTGGGTCCCACCGTTTTACTGCCCCTTGCCTGGCGGTCTGCACCTGAATTAGGATACAGTAGAAATATATCATGCGGTGGTGACACCAACCCGCACTTCCTGGCTCGTATGAATAAATATAAATATAAGCATACGCTACAAAGGCATATTATATATTTATCGATGTAGCGCCATCCCAATTGCACATGAATTTGGAATTAAGGAAATTCATAAATCAATAATATGTACCTGCTTTCAGAATATGGCAGTTAACAGCGACAGGGGGAGATGATCCGATCACCTTGATTGGCTCAAGAAGACTGAAAATCAACGGAGGGAACCAAGGGTCTTTGGATCTTATCTGAAGCACAGCTCTGGTGGAGTTTCTTGTTTTGAGGACCTGGAATTAATTTGATGCGGTAGTAT